CCCACTAATTCGCAAGCTGTGAAGGGGTAAATCTCACTAAACCAGACTCCACCATAGCGATGAATATGTATAGAGAAAGGTGGAGTTGTCTTCATGGAAGGGGGATGCCAGCTGCATCCATGGCCCTCAATACGACAAGCTGTGATACTACTGACAAATGTTGGCCCTTCTTGCTGTACCCACACCGTTAGAGGGTGGTCTTGGTTGTTGTTGCCTGCAGGGCACCGCACCACTATGCACGGGCGATCACCAAGGGACTGTCAGCCACTACTTAATGAATTTTTATCACTGAAGGGTAGCCATCCCATTTAATCACAAGGTTGCAATTGTTACTGGTCTCACACTAATCGTATTGAGTTGTGCTGACTCTTTGTCCATATCCGGGAGCTAGTGAGATAGAATATGTAGAAATTTAACCCTTTGTCCGTTGTCGGGAGTCGGTGTAATAAGATATATGGAAATGCGTAGCCTATTGCCCATTGTTGGAGGCTAGACGAGATAGTAAATCTAGCCCTTTGTCCATCGCTAGAAGCTGTGTAGGTGTAATAGGATCATCCCGTTGTCCATTGATGGGAACCAATGATAGAGATATGTAGAAATGGATGTTTGGCTCGTTGTCCATTGTGGGGAGCCATGCAAATCAGATTGTTGTCCTTTGACGAGAGCCATGTAGTAAAATAGGCTCTTCATCCATTGTTGGGAGCTACAAGATATAGTAGTGAACATCATTGCAGAGGACATGACCATCAAGAAATGCCCAGCCATGGCATCGAAGTAGATCTAGCTATGTTTGGCCATGTAAGTGAAAATAGATACTAGGGTAGGTTACATTCTATGATGTCTCCAGCGAAGTGAATGAGTGTCGTTTCTAGCGATGCTGAATACATTACAGTAATTAATAGAAAATAGGAACTGCACGTCTGACATGGGAAATGAGCGTTGTGGGCCTTTGTTGACATGGACCTACACACGTCATTGATTACGCAGCCACATAAATCCATCCCTCAACAATCTTATATTATGTTTTTTTAATATTTGTTAGTTTAGATATTAAAAATTATATGTATTTAATTAAATTTATTAGTTTAAGTTGTTTAAATGATGATTTTCAAGTTAATTTTGTGGTGACTATTTTTTAAGAATAGAATAAAAGTAATATATAAGAGTAAAATTTAGCAAAAATACCAAAAAAGTGATTTTTTAGTTGATTAGTTGAACTGGTTGATTAAATTGATTGAATCGTTTAAACTAGACCCAATGACCACAACGGGTTGATAAGCTTTGCTTGTTCTTTAAGAAATAATATATTGAAAAAGTATTCATTAAATAAAAATATTTATTGTCCTGAACAATAGGATTAAAGCATTTTTATTACTTATCAAATAATAATAAAATTTATATCCTAAATTACTAAGGAAATAGTTGATAGAGAAGTTCTAATCCTAAAAGAACTCCTCAACCTAGGCCTATAAATAGGATACCTTCTCAAGCCTTTTGAATCACACACTTTAGAAACAGAAAACCTTAAAATAAATTTCAATAAATTTCAAGGATTAACCTCTTTGAAGTTTCTCGTTAACAAGAAATAAATTGAAGACCATGTTAAGAGGGATTTTGAAGAATCCTATTAAAAGGGAACTCGAAGAACGAAGGTCCAAGAATGAAAAATAAGTGAAAAATGTAATATAAAAAGTGTTGATCACTTGTTTCTCTATTAAAAGAGATTTTGATCTTATCTAATGAAGAAATCAAAGACTTTACTTATTTGGGAATAAGTCAATAAAAACCCTCATACAAAAAGTTAAGATTGGAATACTTTATTCAAAGAAAAAAAATCAAAGGATTAAATTTCTAGAGATTGTATCCCACAAATTTTTATCAAATTTATAATTTAACACATAAATGTTTAATAAAAGAAATTTCTATTGTGTCCACTAATATATACACAAGACAATTACAAGAAAGTAGTCTTTTTTCTTTCAAGTTTGTGGCAAGAAGTGCAATGCTTATGTGTCACTATAAATTAAAGGTGTATTTGGGATTGCTGTAAAATATTGTAGTTGCAGCTATAGTTGTACTGAATTGTACTATAGTTATAGGTGAAAGTTATTTTGGTATTTGATTAGTTTATTTCTTAAAAATATTATGGATGATATGATAAATTTTATTAATTATTAATTGCAATTTAAAAATATTATATAATATAAAATTACTAAAATAAACAACATTTATTACTTCTTAATAATTTAAGTTTTTTGAGTTTTATATGATGATTGGTTTTTTAAATTTCCTAAGGGAGCAATTTATAAGAGGAGAATTAGTTTTTAATTTTTTGTGAAATCTTTCAATAAATAAGAGATTAGGTTTAAATAAAATATTATAAATTCTAGTATAATTGAATAAATAAAATTATATTTTAATGAGTAATTTTATCATTGTATTAAATATAAAGTTGTCTCTAAAAATACAACCAAATAACTCCAAAATGAAAATTGACTTTATATATAAAATTATTATAAATCTATTATAATTTTTTACAATTTTTAAATAAAAAATAATCTATAAAAAATTATTAAATACACATATATTCAAAAATACTAAAAATATAAAAAACCCACCTACAATCCCAAATGCACCATAAAAGTTGCTAAGAAGACGCCACTGGAAGCCTGTCCGTCTTTTGGGCTCTTCCTTCCGTTTTAACTAATGTCATTGGTACAGTTTCCTTTTTGAAGTATTAAGATGTGTACAGGTCATCGCTGTCCATGTAGCTAACTTTGGTTTTTTCTGTATAAACAGTAGCTGTATTTTGGTTTTAGTGGTGAAGTTGTATCCATTTTAAGAAAAGCGGAGAGTTCTTAAATACTTAAACGTATACAACTGCTGTGATGCTATTCATATAGATTGCTCTTCTAAAGAATGCTACATAAGGAGCTCAGAGGAGGAACAATGTATAAGCCAAAAAGTAAAAACTAATTCCATAAATAATTGAAATCCTTCAACAGCTCAAAAGAAGCCACTTGAAAACTTGAATTGGGCACGATAGAATCCAGATAAAGAATTCATACTTTCTATGGTCTATCAGGTCATAGAAAAATGTTGCATCAAGATCTGACTCTTGCTAAAATATTTTGCAATGAGAAATGTGATACAAAATGTTTCGAGGTTGAGATATGCTGCCATTCATCTCTCAGATAAATCACTCCGTCTGCATCAAGAAACCATATCATGTTTTCATGATTCACAAGTCACATACTTAAGAGCTAAATAAATTTATCTGGTTGTATTTAATTATATATAAACCCTCATTAGTTAATTTCAAAGATATGGCAGTTGTACTGTACGACCAAGGCATCCAGATACAATAGAAGAGATTATATCTAAGAATACAGGAAAAAGGATGCAATTAAAAAGGCAATTAGATCCAGCACCTTTGGACGTTTTGAGCTTGGTGCACTTGAGTCAGAGTCACTATGTCTACGTGATGTCCCAGTAGTAGAGTTCTGAGCCTGAAAATACAGCAACATTAGCATTGTAACTGTTTTCTACGTCTTTTTATGTTCAATGTTATACAGAATACTCAGAAACTGATGAAACAAAATAACAATAACAAGTATATTATTCTCACTTGGGTTGAACTGGTTGCTTCTGGTTCTGGGGCAAGATCACTTTGAGGTTGACCCGCATGCTGAGATATGAAGGGCATAATCTGATGAAGCAAATTAGATAAAAATACTCCTTGATCAGTAACAATTGACTCTGCTGCTGAAGGATTGCTGGATGTACTTGCATGCTCTGGGGCAGAAACTGTAGCCATTCCAATAGAACTGGGATCCTCTACATGAATTTCACCACCAGGGAAAATGGTTCTTAGAAATTGAAGCACGCTGCTTGGAAGCTGTCTCTCAGATTCTTGGTTGTTTTGAGTCCCACTCCCATTAGCAGATATGATGTTTATATTGACAGTGCGTGTATTAGATCTGTCTTGCTGTCCTGAGTTAGGGTTTGCTAATGATCCTAAGAAAAATCAAATCATTGTCAAGTGTCAACTGATGCAGGAGACTTGTGTGAAATCCAAATTACTCCTTAATACTACAAACAACATAAAGCAACAGTGAGACAAGATAACATTATAAATATAAAAAATATGACAGGAGGATTAGTGCATACAGCAATTGTGCATCTGCATGCTTTTAATTAATCAACATTTTAAGTTCGTAGCATCTCTACATTCCACATATTAAATGTAGCCACTTTTCCACTTTGCATATGGGTAAAAAGCATATCAACAGCTTCCTCAGAAAAATTTGGAAACAATTAAACACAAATGAAAGAAAACAACCTTCCTAAATTATAATAAAAAAGAAAAAAGTAAATTAAAATGAAGAGGCACGGTTGGGAAACAAGGGGAGGAAGGATAAAATGGTGGTCCCCTCCTGCCCTTATTTTTGAGATGAGCCCACATCACAGAGGTAAGGGATGCATAAAAGGAAGACACCAGAACAAGAAAAAAACAACTACCAGGCTTGCAGGTAAAAAAGAAACAAGTGAATTTTAAAAGCACTGTCTTTCCTCTACCAGTCTAACAAGATCTTGAAGTCAGGTCCATAAAA